CTCAGCTGAAGCTCTGTGCTATCCTCTAGGACTGTAAACAACACATACACACTATTTGCACTGTGTGTATCTGGTGGTTGCTGGTGTACAGTAAACTCCAGCTGTCTAAATCTAGGTGTCTCTGGTGCATTCTGTATCATCAGCTCTCCTCTATTTTGTAGCTGTGAAGAAACTGGGAACAGAAATACATGTACAGTACATGGCATCAATATTTGTAAAACTTTAGTTGTGTTACCTACATTGTTTTTGATTCTGGAACGCACTTATCCATGCCATCCATGCACACACACAAACAAAGACACACACAAGATTAATTCATGTACAGTATAGAAGCTACTTTCGGCTGCTCCCTGTTCACAGCATGTAACTGGCAGTTTTACGTCTGATGCCCTTCATGATGAAACCGTTCCTAAACCTACTGTCTTTTGTCTTTTGCTCTGAAATAAAAGGGCTGGTCCTCTGCGGCTAGAGTGAGACAGGAAAATAGGCCATCGTAGGTATTCTTTGGTTCTCTCTCAGCTTCAAGGAATCATTAAACATGGAGAAGCTGGAGTGTGATGGATCTTGGTGGTCTTTCCTTTTTCTTCTCTCCGCTCCTCATGGCTGTTTCAGTCTTTGTGAATATACATTGTTTCTCACCCGAAATGCTTGTTTAGAGGGAAGGGCCCGAGTTCTGCTGGATTCAGGGGACAGAACAGAAAATAGATTCTCTCTGCTGAGTCTGTCCCAGTTGATGGAGTGTGATCACTAAACAAAACAGTTGCTTCCAAACTCAAAATCTGGCTTTGTGAGCCATACCTCCTCTTAATGTTTTCATTTAAAACCACAGAGTGTCACGTTTAGTGGAAAATCCAGTCCTCAAACACAGACTTCTGAACAACCTTAATTAGAGCATAAACTGAAAAGCTAGTGCGCCACGTGGGGGAAATATTTAGGAGGGAAATAGTAAAACGCAAGAGGCGCTGAGAAAAACTGAAAGCTTAAATACACACATGAGGTAATTAGGGAGAGAGGACAAAGCTGGAGGTCAAAGCTCCAGGATTATGACACAGAGTCAAAAGAATAAAGTCCTCTCACAATTATTAGCTCATCATTACTTGTAATATTCTACAATATGCTGCAGTGATGTGCTTTTCCCTGTCAGAATTACTTTTCTACATCATTAGATTTTTGTTAGATCCCTAACATCATTGTTATAGCTGCAAAGTTAAAAGAAGCTGCACAGGATAAGTGGTGTAACTAGCATGCTAGCAGCATATCAGTAGCAGCAGTGACTGAACTGCTCACTGTGTATACTCTAGTGATTACGGGAAAACCCATTCAAAAGGTTGAAAATCGAGCACAGTTTGATGTGCAAGTCAAACCAAGGTAAAACCAATGTGGCGTGTTCATTTAAAATCCATTGAAAACTGCTACCTGTGTTTTTCAATAACCGAATCGTATTTTAAATGTTGCCAAAAATGTGCTGCACACACCAGGCAGAGAGAGATGGTCTGTGGGGGCAGCATCCCTGATTTCACAAATCCTGTTTTTTGCACAAGATTGTAATTGTGCATAAACCAGAAGTGTAAAAATGTTTTTTTTGGTTAGATTTAAGTTTTAATCTGAATCCCAAGTTGGTATGCATCCAATGCAGAAACAAAATTGTTTGCAGCAGTAGTATTAATGTTCTGTCAGATAGAAAAGTCACTACATAATATCTTAGCAGTACTTCAAAGCATGGCTTAGCTCTGGTCGACACTGTGTTAAGATTTTGTTCAAACATCATTAATGTCTACTACTATTTTACAAAAGACAGCAAATCTTGTAATCCTAGTTTACTTTCTTCATTTATTACTTAAGAGGTATTTTTAGGTTTAAACTATTTTCGAAACAGCTAATGGTGAGCTTGTACATGCAACAAAAAGTGATCGTCATTATGTATCTGTTTGTTTTCGTCTTTTTTAATGAGCATTGTAACTTGGCAGCACCTTTGTGTGTTGGTTTGGTCTGGTTGTTTTGTTCTAACAGAGACTTGACTGTTACTCCATGTACTGTACTGTTGCTCACTCAAGCAGGCAGTGCTATCAGCAAATCATTTAAACCCTGCGTTCTGCAGTTGTGTGTACAAGTGTGTGTGTTTGTATGATTTCATATACAAAGAAGAAAACAACATGTGAAGTGGCATTTTCCTTGGGCACAGCATGACCGAGGATTTCCACTGTTTTCTTAATCGTTGTGTGTTGACTCTGTGTGCCTCTGTGTGTCTCTTTGTCACTGTTTGTTAGTCACGTTTAAAGATAAAGGGCTTAATTTTACGTTGTTCGACCCCCACATCTTTTGTGCAACCCTGTTGGCTATATCCATGCACACATGCGGTTCAATTTCAGTGACTTACATGAACCGTTGACCCCAGTGCAGCTTAAACTCCTGTCAGTCTGTATTCACTGAGCTGGTACAACTGTTACAAAACAAACTATTTATTTTGTTCGACTTATTTAAGGTTCCTGTTTTCTCCAAAGCACTGTCTGTATTTCTCTTTTCCTCAGTTTTTTATTTTATTATATTTCATTTTTTGCTTTTTTGACAGAAGATTTTATCTCAAAGTGTTACACAGGACCCAGTGTCTCTGTCAGTTACTGTGGCTTTGACTTCTTTATGAAGACTGTGCCATATTTGAGTAATTATTGGTGAATTATTGCTGTAAATGTTAAACTGGTAATAATATTTGCCATTGATGCATGTGTTCAGTTATTGTTTGGAACACAAAGATTTATTTGTATTTTTGGAATATGTTGATACTTCTTAAAGTGGAAAGCAAATACTAGAAAATATAAGTAACTATGACAGAAGCTGCCAGAGAGAGGATAGAAATTCAGGAAACAAAGTTTCAGGATGCAAAAAAAAAAAAAGAACTTCTAAAAATAAAACACCCTGCACAAAGCTGGCAGGAGAATACAGAAAGTCATGGTGGGAAAAATGGAGCTAACTCAACTGAAACAAACAAGAGAAAGCAGGACAAACAAAAGGAGGTCGACCCCACAAAGATGGGAAAGACCTGACTATATTGTGTGTGTGTGTGTGTGTATATATGTGTATATTCTGTGTCCCACTCATTTATTGACACATGTGTATATATGTTATATGTATTATATATATATATGTATGCATAATATATATATATCATATATATATATATATATATATATATATATATACATATACATACATACATACATACATACATACATACATACATACATGTATATATATGGGGGGTCCAGGGAGAGAGGGGGGGGGAATCCACACACACGCTTCCTCTTCCTCTCCGCTTCCTCTTCCACTCAGTCACCGCCACCGCTCCTCCACACACACACACACACACACACACACACACACACACACACACACACACACACACACACACACACACTCCTCTTCAGCCGCACTCGCTCCAACACTCCACACACTGCCCCACTTGGACAGGTCCAGTGATTCGGTCCAGAAAGGTCTACAGACAGAAGTTCAAGGTTAGTTCCACAACAAAATACATGTAAGAGATTCTTCTTTGAATATGCCGCGAGCACGAACTCAGGTGGTTCAACGTTCCAGCGGTGAGCTGCTCTGTGCCACTGCCTTAAATAGCAGCTGGGGAAATCAGCCAGATCAGCCGCAGGTGGACACCATCACACGGGTGCGTGGGCCAAGAGCGAGAGCCCGTAATGAGCTCCACCCAGGCAGAGAGGAGGAGGAGAGACAAAGAAAACCAAAACGAACAACAACAAAACCTGTAGCCAGCGTGGGCCAACCAGAGAGACACGGGGACCATCACAACCTGTCTGTCATCAACAACCATGTCATGTTCAAAATCACTTAAAATGACCTTTACAGTATTCCACCTTCTGATGCTCAGTTTGAACCTCAGTATGTGATCTTTACCATGTCTACATTTGATTGCTTAATTGGATTAGTTCACAAGCAGCTAAAGAGGTGCACTGGTAATGAAGTTACCAGTGAGTGTATAGTGCTGTAATATAGTCAGATTACTGTGTAAATATAAGTGAGGAAAATTGGTGTTGTTGAAATAAAAGTTGATAAGAATATAATTGGTTAGGGAAGGAGAGCTTGTATGTGACATTGTTGATACAGAACAAGCTCAAGAGTGTATTTTCTCCTTTTTTTCCCATTTGCATGTCTCATTCTCTCATTCTCCCAGTGGCCCACTAGCATTTTTCTGTCTTTATTTTTAGCTTCATCTCAGAGTATGATAGCTGGTGCGATGTGACAGAAGTCCTCCCCACACACACACAAGATACATCAGGGTAGTAGAATAATATGTACCAAATACTGATAAACAAAGGCAAGTGTCATGGATTTCAGCGTAGCCTGGTGCAACATGTGGCCTGCAAATGGGCTTTATGGCCAATCACGTTTACAGCCAGTGGGGATTTCCTGTCACAGTGGAGAGCTGCACTGACGTGTAAAGCCACAGAGATTACCCTTTCCAGCAGCAGGATTTTTGGAGGCTGCAGACGGGGGTACATGCTTTCTATGCTCACACTACACGTGACGTACTGTATATTATGTAATTATTTTCTAAAGCATGAGCATTTCTTATTTTTATCTTTTCAGTGTATATTGATGTTGTAGAAAACAAATGTCATTTCTAAAAGACCCCAAAAAGCCCAAACCTTTGTTTTTGTAACATAGTGTTATTCTTCAGAGATCTATTCAGAAATCTCTTTATTTGTTATTTATTGAGAAACATTTTTGCAGCTATTTCTTGGGTCCAATCTTATATGTGCAAGCAGATTGTGATGTTGACTAGAATTAAGTTGGACTAAAAATACCTTGCGATTATTTCTGTTTTTGTTTCTTCTGGCTTTTTTTTTTTTTATCCCTAATTGCAATGGGTGTCTTATTTATTTTGTCACTTCTTATTTTCTCTGTGTCTTGTGTGTGTGTGTGTCTGAAGCATATTACTGAAGCAAACTAACCTGGGCACTGTCTTATCTTCACAGGGCATCAATATTGTGGGGCCCAGTAATGTAGAGCCCCCGCCTCAGCCTCCTCCTCCAGCCATGTACCAGCTGGATATTGTCCTAAAGAAAGGGAAAAACCTGGCCATCCGAGATCGAACAGGTAGGAGAAATTCCTCAAGAATATTCAGGTTTATGTAGAGCTACAGTGGGAAATGCTTTATCTGGTTTCTGTTTGCCCCATCAATTAAAAGTTACCCTGTGCAGCAATTAGCACAGGCAGCATCTAGAATGCCTGGTTTGAAATCCTACTGTTTCAGGCTAAAAGAAAATCTGTGACTTTCTGGATTCTTTTATTCAAAACCAAAAATGAATGGTGTTACAATTATTGCCGGTGTGTCTAAAAGTATTTAGACTCACATTAGAGTGAACTTAGATACTCCCAGTAGCAGATAAAATGTTAGACAGCTACCGTAAATAAGATAAGTAGTCCTGGATGATAGTGAAGCAACTGTACTTTGTGACTGCTTTTATTAGTCCATGGAGGTGCTTCTACATGAACAATAGTGTCCATATATTTTCGGATAAAGAAACATGTACACCACTTTAAAACTGTTATTTATGTGTTCAGGACTTCAGTAGCTCTATGTTAGAGAGAAACATGCTGAATCAGGCTTTGGCCCAAGAAACAGCCTCAGTGGTGTGGTGAGGTTTTAAGTAAATGAATAAATTGTTGGCTTTAGTTCTTTAATAGGAGTAAGAAAAATATGGAAAATCATCTGAATTACTTTGTTTTCTTTAGGCTTATTGGCTGTTTTTACACACTCAAATCAACTCTTTTTTTTTTTATCTCCCTTTTATTTACTCACTGATCTCCATGTATTCTTTTTTAAATCACACATCACAATCCATTTTCCATATGTGATGTCAGATTGATTTAGTAGAAACGATTTGGCGCATTCCTCATGCATGTGAGCATGAAAACAATTAAGCTCTGGGTTAAACTAGGCCATTGTCACATTTGGAGCCTAGACGAGTGATTCTAATGTGATTCTTCTGGTTTCTTTTGTGTAATAAGATGAAATCGTACCATAGGCGCTTCCCTTGGCTACTGAGCGTGAGCAAGACCTGCAGTGTAAAGACTACACACTGCTGTATTGTAAGCGATGACTATAGAGAATGTAAACTAGAAACCCTAAGTTAGAATTTATTTAGTTTTGCACCAGAGTAAAAGATACTAACTCATCTTAAACGACTCAGATAAACAAATGATAAATGGCCTGTATTTGTATAGCGCTTTACTAGTCCCTAAGGACCCCAAAGCGCTTTACACAACCAGTCATCCACCCACTGGTGATAGCAAGCTACATTGTAGCCACAGCCACGCCTGACAGAGGCGAGGCTGCCGGACACTGGCGCCACCGGCCCCTCTGACCACCACCAGTAGGCAACAGGTGAAGTGTCTTGCCCAAGGACACAACGACCGAGACTGTCGGAGCCGGGGCTCGAACCGGCAACCTTCCGATTACAAGGCGAACTCCCAACTCTTGAGCCACAATCAAACGTTTGCCTGCTTCTCTGGAGCTGGAGTATGTGATTTAATGTAAGGTGGATATGCTCAGCTTTAACACATCATAAACTCTCACAGACCTCACAGTGGATTGCATGGTGAAGGATGCTGAAGTCTCATTAGTGGCTGTAGCAGTCACCATGACAACAGATCAGAATGAGCTGCCTTTGTCTCTCCTATGCACTTTGCCTGACTACCTGTCCACCCAGATAATGAGCACTGAGGTGCTGAGCTCACCTGTCCTGTTTTAGCCCATCAAGACAGCTCATTAGAGACACAGAGAGAGACAGGTAGAGAAAGAAAGAGAGAGAAAGGAATATAACCTAGGAGTGGAATGAATGGAATATTAGCAAAAAACAACAATAAGTGCTGTTTTGTCTCACAGTCTTTAGCCAGGGTGTCTTCCTCCTAATATTTACAATGGCACATCTTAACTCTTGGCCTGTATTACCGGGATGTTTACTTTCCCCCCTTTAAACAGCAGGAAATAGGTAAACTGAAGAATACAGAAAATGATTTTCCATTTGCACATCTCTCTAGGTTCCCTTCTCATTCATGTGTCCTGAAGTAGAGCAGGATTATCAAATAAAGGGAGTTTACTGCAAGAAGCAATTTAATTCTGCTACTTATTGATTCACTAAAAGCTCTGGCATGAATTATAAATGTTACAAATAGTCTGCAGTTTGTCAGCAAAAAAACAACAAAAACCAAAAGAAATTTGTTTTAAAAACTTTTAATTGTGCATAGCAGAACTGTAAGTGAAAACAATAAAATTATTTTAATTAGACTACAAGTCTGAAGTATTTTGGAGTGCTAGACTTTGTTAATTTAAGCAGACTGTTAACAATGCAGAGCTTCACACGATACAACAGGAGGATACTGGTAAAAGAAAAGGTGAAATGTTTTGTTTGTCACCTTAGTGCTGATCCATGCATCAAAGTGATGGATGCACTCAGACAAGGTTGACTTGGAAGACAGAAAAGAGAGTGAGGACAGGGGTTCAGTGCCGTGTCCTCCTTTATCCCCTTTGCTCTTTAAAGAAACAGGCTCGATAGATTTCTAGAGATGTGCTGCCTTAACAAAATTTCCCTCCTTTGAGGAAATGAAAGCAAGGAAAATACAAACAACATACACTGTTTTGAAAAACTGTTTGCCCCCCCCCGACAAACTGAAGCTAAAAGATCTCAAAAATCAACACATCATGGCACGATCTAAAGAAACACCTGAGAAACAAAGACACTGACATCTATCAGTCTGGAAAGGGTTACAAAGCAATATCTAAGGCTTTGGGGCTCCAGTGAACCACAGTGAGAGCCATTATACACAAATGGATCAAACTTGGAACAGTGATGAAGCTTCCCAGGAATGACCGGTTGAACAAAATTACTCCAAGAGCACATCGACCACTTATCCAGGAGGTCAAAAAAGAACCCAGAACAACATTAAGCTTCACATGTCTCACTTAAAGTTAGAGTTCATGATTCAACAATAAGAAAGAGACTGGGCAAAAATGGCAGCCATGAATTCCAAGATGAAAACCACTGCTGACAAAAAAGAACGTGTGTATGTGTGTGTGTGTGTGTGTGTGTATTTATATAGTGCAAAGACATCCAGGATTCATCCAGGATTAAAAAATAACTTGTCAGGTGTTAGATGAAAAAATATTTCAGTATTTTTATCACAGTAAAACTCTCAACATTCTCTCATTTACATGTACAGAGTAAAATTATTTTATAAATTGTCACCAGGGGAGTGCTTTTTGCCTTCAGCTTTAAAAGTCCGATAGCATGTGTGGGCAAGCAGCGTGGACACACAGGTTGTGAAGTTGATAACTCGAGAATGAGAAGAAGTAGGAGTTTGAAATTGATACCGTAGGTGTATCTACTAAAAATCTTGGCCAAGTTTGAATCTGGTGACCTTGACTTCAAGATCAGAGGTGAGAGGTGAATGCAGTAACTCGAGAACATGGCAATGTAGGATTTTGAATCTGCTAGGATGCTCAGAGGCAACACTGGCAGCTGCCAGTGTGTTTTTTTTTTGTGCTTTTATAAACCAATATACATGTGTATTAATGAAGAAGAAACAGAGCAGTCTGTTATGAAAGCTGAAGCTTCTACAATTTTACATCTGCCTATTATGCTTAGTTTAATGGGTGAAAATAACCTGACCATTATCATATTTCTGAAAAAAAATCTAGTTCTTAGAGTCCTAGCCTCATCTTAGCTGTCATATATGATAGCTCAGTGATGAGGTCAGTTGAAAATGTCTGCCTCTAATTCCCTGTGTTTGACCCAAAGGTGAAGCCCATCAGAATCTAAAACATAACAGATATAACATCCTCCATTTCACTGTTTTAGATGTTATGCTTACTCACATGGAAAATCTGAACCTTGACATGAGAAAATCTGGTCATAGAAGAGGCGACTGAAGTGCTATAGGACGATAAAGATGTAGTTGTCGCAGTTAAACATGTTTGGTTGAGTAGTTTTTGTGCAAACTCTGGTTAAGCTGTGCTTGATTTCTCTAGCTTTTCAAAGACACCATATAGTTGTCATTTCAGCATCTGCATATCTGAGTAGTAGTGGTTACTCCTGCACGTTTCTCCTGTGCTGCACTTCCTCTTGACCTATCTTTCTCTTGCTTTTCAAGTACTGAAGGATAATTATGTGGTGCACATATTTAGCTGTATTGCACTGAAGTTATTTAGTATAGTTTCATTTGGATGCTGAAAATTAAGTGTTGCAATTAGAAAACCTTCCTTTTGAAAAGCGTTTCCTATCATCAGCATTCAGCTCTCAGAAATAACTGTGCAGTTTCACATTTGTATTGTAAATGCAGACAGTCTCTGTCTGTTATAAACACATTCATGTTTGAGATGCCGGTTGGTAGATCTCCCACATAACATTGCAGTTTTTGGCTCTGAATATTTCAGCTGATGGCCACAAAAGCACAGGGGACTTTCAACCTTTATTGCCAGTTTTATGTCTATCAGTCATCCCTGATTTTAACTTGTGCACAGCCACAAAATGCCACATTTACAAATGTGGAATCAATATAGCTATATAAGTACAGGAATTGTGATTGTTGTTTTGAATGGTTGTTGTTTATAGCCAGTAAATCAAACAGAAAAACAGACTGAGTAAATCTAGGTGTATAACAGAAATACTGTAGCCTAACTGTGCTTCTCCATACAGGCCATTTACACTTATAGACACAATGTACATAAAGGCAGTATTCCAACAACTGATGTTAAGCTCAAAGTTTTATAATTCTGCAAAATAAAGATATAGTATAAATTAGGAACTTATGAAGGCAAGGCAGATTTATTTGTATAGCACAATTCAACAACAAGGTGATTCAAAGTGCTTTACAGAGACATTAGAAACAAAAACAAATAAAAAGCATGATTTAAAATTGATTAAAACAAGCAAACAAACAAACTAACTAAACACACACATTGAAGTTAGAGACTAGACAATATCTGGAATTTCAGAAATTGCGTGATTCCTCATCCTTACAGACACTTACCAATAGCCACTCTAATTTTATCCCAGGGTAAGTAATAGCTAGCTAGACAGTTGTAGCTGCTGCTA